AGCCGCAGGCAGAAACATCCCGTTAATGACGTGCGTTTGCAGCATGGCACAAGCAAATTCAAAGTTGTTAAGTTGTTTCTTCTCACAGGGTTAGTTCCATGCAGAACAGCTAGAGCCTTTGTGTGGAGTGCTCATCCTTGACTCGTTGATGTGTGGCTTGTGGGCGCAGGCACGCTCTTGCAAGGTTGCCATGGCCTCATTTGTCCCCCATATATAGCTTCCGGGTTGCCATTCCTCAGCATCTCACCACATGTGGTTTTTGCTGAGGTGCTGGTTCTGGAAAGAACAGGGCCGAATACACGGCAAGTCCCTATGCAACTTTACGCGGAGATGTTTCCGCAAAGATTAAGCGGATTGATTGTTTCTTGGAAAGTGCCAGTTTCATAGGCTGCCAGGCAAACAAGGCACTGGTAGCAGAAACCTCAGCTGTCCAACAAACTGGTAGGGAAAAAGCGTGACAGAAAAGCGCGGAATCGAGATCAAAAACAGGCAGGATCAAGACTTAAGTCTCACCAAGTTTATGCCGATAGCAATGGCATCTTGTGGCCAGGCATGCTGCCAAGACATCTTTTGTCGCTTGAGCCTTTCTTCCTGAAATTGGACACTTGATGGCGTGACATCTCCTTTTGGAGCTTTCAATGGTAGACGAACTTGTTTGCTTCAATGAGCACAGTGAAACCTCAAAAGAGAATGAAAAGCACCGGGTGCCTTCTTGACAGTGGTATTTCAAAGGTGCCATGTGTTCTGAGTCTTGTGCGGGCACCTACTTTACAAATAAGTCATGTCCAGCTCCGTCTGAGAGTGTAAGCTGCCGTGTAAGCCCCGTCAGACCGAACCGAGAATGCAGCTTTCCGACAAGGGTCGCTTCTGTTAGCGCAGTGTGTGGAATGCTTTCCTTGAGGGCGAGCATGCAAGTGAATGGTAGATGTGCAACAGATGGAAATCAGGACGTGATCTTCCTGCCATAAGAGCCGCAGACAGAAACATCCCGTTAATGACGTGATATGACGTGCGTTTGCAGCATGGCAAAAGCAAATTCAAAGTTGTTAAGTTGTTTCTTCTCCCAGGGTTAGTTCCATGCCGAACAGCTAGAGCCTTTGTGTGGAGTGCTCATCCTTGACTCGTTGATGTGTGGCTTGTGGGCGCAGGCACGCTCTTGCAAGGTTGCCATGGCCTCATTTGTCCAACATATATAGCTTCTGGGTTGCCATTCCTCAGCATCTCACCACATGTGGTTTTTGCTGATTAAGTTGTTTCTCCTCCCAGGGCTAGTCCTATGTGGAACAGTTAGAGCCTTTGTGTAGAGTACTCATCCTTGACTCGTTGATGTGAAAGGGGTCCAATACACGGCAAGTCCCTGTGCAACTTTGCGGATATGTTTCCGCAAAGATTAAGCGGATTGATTGTTTCTTAGAAAGTGCCAGTTTCATAGACTGCCAGGCAAACAAGGCACTGGTAGCAGATACCTCAGCTGTCCAACAAACTGGTAGGGAAAAAGCGTGACAGAAAAGCGCGGAATCGAGATCAAAAACAGGCAGGATCAACGGCTCAAGACTTAAGTCTCACCAAGTTTATGCCGATAGCAATGGCATCTTGTGGCCAGGCATGCTGCCAAGACATCTTTTGTCGCTTGAGCCTTTCTTCCTGAAATTGGACACTTGATGGCGTGTCATCTCCTTCTCCTTTTGGAGCTTTCAATGGTAGACGAACTTGTTTGCTTCAATTAGCACAATGAAGCCTCAAAAGGCAATGAAAAGCACCGGGTGCCTTCTTGACAGTGGTATTTCAAAGGTACCATGTGTTCTGAGTCTTGCGACGGCACCTACCTTACAAATAAGTCATGTCCAGCTCCGTCTGAGAGTGTAAGCCCTGTAAGCCCCGTCAGACCGAACCGAGAATGCGGGCACTTTCCGACAAGGGTCGCTTCTGTTAGCGCAGTATGTGGAATGCTTTCCTTGAGGGCGAGCATGCAAGTGAATGGTAGATGTGCAGCAGATGGAAATCAGGACGTGAACTTCCTGCCATAAGAGCCGCAGGCAGAAACATCCCGTTAATGACGTGTGTTTGCAGCATGGCAAAAGCATGTTCAAAGTTGTTAAGTTGTTTCTTCTCCCAGGGTTAGTTCCATGCCGAACAGCTAGAGCCTTTGTGTGGAGTGCTCATCCTTGACTCGTTGATGTGTGGCTTGTGGACGCAGGCACGCTTTTGCAAGGTTGCCATGGCCTCATTTGTCCCCCATATAGCTTCCGGGTTGCCATGCCTCAGCATCTCACCACATGTGGTTTTTGCTGAGGTGTTGGTTCTGGAAAGAAAAGGGCCCAATACACGGCAAGTCCCTATGCAACTTTACGGATATATTTCCGCAAAGATTAAGCGGATTGATTGTTTCTTAGAATGTGCCAGTTTCATTGGCTGCCAGGCAAACAAGGCACTGGTAGCAGAAACCTCAGCCGTCCAACAAACTGGAAGGGAAAAAACGTGACAGAAAAGCGCGGAATGGAGATCAAAAACAGGCAGGCTCAAAACTTAAGTCTCACCAAATTTATGCCGATAGCAATGGCATCTTGTGGCCAGGCATGCTGCCAAGACATCTTTTGTCGCTTGAGCCTTTCTTCCTGAAATTGGACACTTGATGGCGTGTCATCTCCTTCTCCTTTTGGAGCTTTCAATGGTAGACGAACTTGTTTGCTTCAATGAGCACAATGAAACTTCAAAAGGGAATGGAAAGCACCGGGTGCCTTCTTGACAGTGGTATTTCAAAGGTACCATGTGTTCTGAGTGTTGTGCGGGTACCTACCTGCAAATAAGTCATGTCCAGCTCCGTCTGAGAGTGTAAGCCCTGTAAGGCCCGTCAGACCGAACCGAGAATGCGGGCACTTTCCGACAAGGGTCGCTTCTGTTAGCGCAGTGTGTGGAATGCTTTCCTTGAGGGCGAGCATGCAAGTAAATGGTAGATGTGCAACAAATGGAAATCAGGACGTGATCTTCCTGCCATAAGAGCCGCAGACAGAAACATCCCGTTAATGACGTGCGTTTGCAGAATGGCAAAAGCAAATTCAAAGTTGTGAAGTTGTTTCTTCTCCCAGGGTTAGTTCCATGCGGAACAGCTAGAGCCTTTGTGTGGGGTGCTCATCCTTGACTCGTTGAAAGGGGCCCAATACATGGCAAGTCCCTATGCAACTTTACGGATGATATGTTTCCGCAAAGATTAAGCGGGTTGATTGTTTCTTAGAATGTGCCAGTTTCATTGGCTGCCAGGCAAACAAGGCACTGGTAGCAGAAACCTCAGCTGTCCAACAAACTGGTAGGGAAAAAGCGTGACAGAAAAGTGCGGAATCGAGATCAAAAACGGGCAGGATCAAGACTTAAGTCTCACCAAGTTTATGCCGATAGCAATGGCATCTTGTGGCCAGGCATGCTGCCAAGACATCTTTTGTCGCTTGAGCCTTTCTTCCTCAAATTGGGCACTTGATGCCGTGTCATCTCCTTCTCCTTTTGGAGCTTTCAATGGTAGACGAACTTGTTTGCTTCTTTGAGCACAATGAAACCTCAAAAATGAGTGCTCAAAAGAGAATCAAAAGCCCTGGGTGCCTTCTTGACAGTGGTATTTCAAAGGTACCATGTGTTCTGAGTGTTGTGCGGGTACCTACCTTACAAATAAGTCATGTCCAGCTCCGTCTGAGAGTGTAAGCCCTGTAAGCCCCGTCAGACCGAACCGAGAATGCGGGCACTTTCCGACAAGGGTCGCTTCTGTTAGCGCAGTGTGTGTAATGCTTTCCTTGAGGGCGAGCATGCAAGTGAATGGTAGATGTGCAACAGATGGAAATCAGGACGTGATCTTCCTGCCATAAGAATCATAAGAGCCGCAGGCAGAAACATCCCGTTAATGACGTGCGTTTGCAGCATGGCAAAAGCAAATTCAAAGTTGTGAAGTTGTTTCTTATCCCAGGGTTAGTTCCATGCGGAACAGCTAGAGCCTTTGCGTGGAGTGTTCATCCTTGACTCGTTGAAAGGGGCCCAATACATGGCAAGTCCCTATGCAACTTTACGGATATGTTTCCGCAAAGATTAAGCGGGTTGATTGTTTCTTAGAATGTGCCAGTTTCATTGGCTGCCAGGCAAACAAGGCACTGGTAGCAGAAACCTCAGCTGTCCAACAAACTGGTAGGGAAAAAGCGTGACAGAAAAGCGCGGAACCGAGATCAAAAACAGGCAGGCTCAACGGCTCAAGACTTAAGTCTCACCAAGTTTATGCCGATAGCAATGGCATCTTGTGGCCAGGCATGCTGCCAAGACATCTTTTGTCGCTTGAGCCTTTCTTCCTCAAATTGGACACTTGATGGCGTGTCATCTCCTTCTCCTTTTGGAGCTTTCAATGGTAGACGAACTTGTTTGCTTCTTTGAGCGCAATGAAACCTCAAAAGAGAATCAAAAGCCCTGGGTGCCTTCTTGACAGTGGTATTTCAAAGGTACCATGTGTTCTGAGTGTTGTGCGGGTACCTACCTGCAAATAAGTCATGTCCAGCTCCGTCTGAGAGTGTAAGCCCTGTAAGCCCCGTCAGACCGAACCGAGAATGCGGGCGCTTTCCGACAAGGGTCGCTTCTGTTAGCGCAGTGTGTGGAATGCTTTCCTTGAGGGTGAGCATGCAAGTGGATGGTAGATGTGCAACAGATGGAAATCAGGATGTGGAGTGCTCATCCTTGACTCGTTGATGTGTGAGTTTCACTGCGCTTGATCCCGCTGCGACATGTGACACATATCAAGTGCAACCTGAGCATGCGATGTTGACTGGCAAGTTGGATGCGCAAGCAAGATGGTCAGATTCTGTCAGTGTTTTTCCGATCTCTTTGTCGCCTGCCTTTCTTGTCGGCCAGCAGGTGTGGGGCCTGAAGTGTCTGACAGATCCGAAATCGTGCATCAAACCATGATGAGATAATACAAAATACAGTAAACTATTGCGATACAGTAATAATACAAACGCCTCCAAAGTGCTGAGCCGATGAATGGCCAGGAACTTTTGCTCCAAGCTGGTGCAAAAGTTGGTTCGGCGCAACGCAGCAGAGTGTTTGTTCTTCATTTGGAGTGGGCAATGTTGAAATCCCCATGCCAAGCAGTTTATCAAAGGTCCGCTTTCACTACAAGTGGCTGGCGTCGTTGCATGGTATTTTCTTCCCACTTTGCTTCGTCCTGCATCACCCGACGAATGTTGAAGGCAGACAGCACGAAAGAACATGATGCCCCATTGGCGCCACTAGCGGCTATGCAGTCCCAGCTCAGTACACCATGGTGTCCTGCCAGCCTCTAAGAGCCGCGGGGGATTCTGTGATCACCATAGTTCGCGGATCTCAACGGCTCAACGTACCGACAGCATGATGGAAAGCCAAAATCCAATTTTTGGGTCAAACGGCCTTGACTTTGGCAGTTTTTATTGGTCATTACCGTTTTGATTGTCTGGAACCACTTGTGTGAGTGCGGCTCGACCTTCGATATTCATCATAAGGGTCCATCCTAGAGGCCGCATATCTGTAACATGGGTAAATTGCAGCCTTTTCGTCAAACCTGTCCTTTGTGCTAACAGGCTCAGTAAACCGATCCTTTAAGAAGCGCTGGGTCCGCTTGATCAGATCATATTTTGGATTGGGAAACATCCGCAGTCCATTCCCAAGCGCGCCCAGCAACTTTTTGCGGCTTACTTTGACTCCAAATATTGGACAGCTGTGTGGCTGCGTCATTCCTTTTCAATGGGCATCATGATGCAGAAAAGGCTTGCTTGTCACTCCATGTGAGGTGTGCCGAAGGATCAATGGCGACCGAGATGGACATGTTTCACGGCCGCCACAAGCCGTGCTCTAAGTCTTCAACAGATCCAGAGCCTTTCTCAGGTTTTGTTTGCTTCTCACCGGGTGCCGGGTGCAAAGTTTCCGACTTACCAAAGTCGCCTCCAAAGTGCTGAGCCGATGAATGGCCAGGAACTTTTGCTCCAAGCTGGTGCAAAAGTTGGTTCGGCGCAACGCAGCAGAGTGTTTGTTCTTCATTTGGAGTGGGCAATGTTGAAATCCCCATGCCAAGCAGTTTATCAAAGGTCCGCTTTCACTACAAGTGGCTGGCGTCGTTGCATGGTATTTTCTTCCCACTTTGCTTCGTCCTGCATCACCCGGCGAATGTTGAAGGCAGACAGCACGAAAGAACATGATGCCCCATTGGCGCCACTAGCTGCGTCGACTTGCGTGCTGAGGCCCCAACTAGTTGCAAAACCGTCCAAACCACTCCAGTGATTCTGCGGCAGCCAAACTTAGCCAAGTGACAATGCCTGTGAAATTTCCAAGATGCGACGTCCGAAATCAAAAGACTACAGCGGCTACTCGCCAGATCAGCTGACTTCCATGAGTGTTTCCAGGTTGCCCAAAGTGGCTTGGGATGCTTGGGATATTTGGCACTTCTTGAACCCGCGAAAAAAATGCAGGTGTCGCCAGGGGGGAAACGCAGAATTGGGGATATGTAGTCTGTCAAGCCATTCTCCTCAACCAGTTCCCTGTTGGAAAGTGGTGCAAATTCAGGGTTTTTTGTTGGCGATCAGACATATTCCGGAAGGTAAATTGATCACGTTGAGGTGGGGATATTTGTGCAGGTTCACACAATTACCTAGGTGCTTGCAAACCACTTCGGTTTTTGGCGTCAGTGCAGAACGCGCTGTACAGTCACAGATGTTTGTAAGTTGTTTGAAGAGATTGGAATGTTACTTTGTTTCAAGTTTCAACATGTATATGACAAACAAACTATGCATCGCATGAGGTTTTGCATTTACAGTCCAACTTGGGGGCAACGGGTTTATATGGATTTGAAACACTTGTTGGTAAACGGAACAATGTCAGTTAAACACTTTCTTCAATGCATGATCTGTTTGTTGCACCCAACAGGTTTTATGAAAACATATCCAGAAACAATAAAGAAAACTTGTCAGACGATTTGAAAATTTCAATGTATCGATGTCAGGCCTGTATGTTACGTGTGCAGCGCATGTGCAGCGCTTGCGGCTGGAGCAAGTGGAGGTTGTGATGGTGGCAGAAATGACCAAAATCATCGATTCCGTAGTCGATCTTCAATGATTTTGGATTGGTGGCTGCAAACACCATTATTATATATATATATATTATATATAGTATACTAAGTATACTCATTAGTATCTTTAGAGTGGATAGTGGCTACCTCAGAAACCGCCCGTGAAATGTCCATGGATCATGTTGAGGTGGGGATATTGGTGCTGAATCATGCCTGAATGCGCCTATGCATGTGTTGTAGGTCTGTCATAGCAAAAGGTCGCTCTGGGTAGAATTGTAAGCTGTTCTTGAACACAGACACTGTTTTTGTTTGCCCTTCGGCTTCGGCAAGTTGTTAAATTTTGTGGAAAATGATTGATTGGGTTCTGTTGGAAGCTCTGGTTGGCGGGTTTCAGTTCAAGGTCAGTTCAAGATCAGCCATTCAAACGTTCATGGTTTAAGGTAGGGGTAGAGATATGATTTAATGTGCTAATGATCTATTTTTCGATCCCTCGGCGGAAGCAAGTCCAAGTCTATGTAGGTTTGGACAGGGTAGCCCTCCTCGACCGAGTGTTGCTTTCTGATCTCAGCGACTGGTTTCTGTGATTTCCCAATATGTCGAGATGCTGTATACCAAGATTACCAAGGCATACCAAGGCGGGAAACGAGAAGGGCATCCATGAACTTACCACCAGATGCCTGAGTTTGGCAGAAAGCTTTGTCGCCGCTTTGCCGCTTGAGTTCGGCCGAAGTTTGGTTTTCAGTTTTGTTTTCAACCAAGCACGAGTCTAGCACCTCTAAAGTTTTCGACTCTCGGTCAAAATTTGGTGGTGGTGCTTATCAAGTTGAATACTGAGAACAAACGCGTGTTTGAGGACCGGTGAGCGTATTGAGCTGCTTCTTTCAGCTGTAACTGCAGGATAGTCAGGTGACAAGCACTACTACTTTTGATAAAATTTCGGCATACGCCGACTTATACCTGGACCTTCAAACTCCTGCAAAATACCAGGCGTTTTGCACAATCAGGCGTTTCGCCAAATTAATAGTAATATCAGTCGTTCCCCAGAAAAACTAGGCGCAGTATGTTTTCCCATTCAACTCTCACCCCTCCTGTCCGCAAAGCCTTCCTGGCTCACTTGCCTTTGCCACCTTGAGTGGCACCCTGGATGGATGGCACCTTTTCTTCTTCAGCCGGGCCGCCAAGTGCTCATACGTTCAGGTTACCAAACTGCTGTCGGTATTTCCCCAAAACCTTTTGAAGACAACGCAGGGATTGGGAAAGACCCAGGCCAAAACAGCTCTTGCTGATAGCAGAAAAATCCTCGTCATTCCAACAGCCTGCATTGATGGGATTAAGACACCAATTGGGGCCCGAATTTTGCTTGATTAATTCTAAGAACATGTGCATTTTAGGTCTGATCCTGTACTTCTGGAAACCCTGGCTGGCTTGCATCGATGCCAATTGTGAGAAACCTTCACAAAATTTCCTTGCCCAGTCATGAGCTTCAACTTGTTCTCGATGGGTCAGCCAAAGACCAGTTGAATTGAGTTTTCGAAAAAAAAATGTTGATAAGCTTCAAGCAAAAGAACATGATTTCCAATTCATCATCGCCAGAAATATCCTGATCCCAGGGAAAGAAGTTACAAATCAATGAAACAGATATCTGTTGAACACATAGAAAGTTTTTGTTTAGCAATACCCCCACCTTGTCTTGGAAGAAATGCTCTAGCCATCCACAGCAAACAGCGGTGTCGAATCCCTTGCTCGCAATTGATGAGGGAAAATCCGTATTTCGAGTCATGTCCATTTTCAACTTAGACCAGTGATCACAGCAAGTCAGCTTGCGCTGTTGCGCACAGAAAGCTTGAAACTCCCCGTAGGCTCTTTCCAACTGAGCATCGAGAGAACCACGGCCAAAAAAGCCCTTCCTACATCCCATGACAATAGAGGAGGCACACCAATCAACTCCAAATCCCTTGATGTGAAAGCTGTGGGCGCTATCAACCAAAATGCAGGATGCATCTGCAGATGGCAGCTGGCGAAATGGGGAGGGTCGCCCACTTTTGAATGGATCAGGTCCAGGATGACCCTTTGACGTTCTGCTTCCAAACTTGGGTTCCACCAATCCTGCAAAGGGGCCCAATCATCATCCAGGAGTAACCTCATTTGTTTGTTCATAATATGTTGCTCAAAGGGATATATAACTACAAAGCTATATAGATATATAGCAAAGGGTTGCTTATTTGAATTTACTAACTTCTACGACGACGCCGACAACCACGACCACGACCACGACTACTACGACTGCGACGACGACGACGACGACGCTACTACCACCACCACCACCACCACCACCACCACCACCACCACTACTACTACTACTACTACCACTACTACTGACTACCACCACCCCCACCACCCACCACCACCACCATCAACCGCCACCGCCACCGCCCCACCGCCAAAGCCACCGCCACCGCCACTGCCACTAACCACCACCACCACTACCATCCACACCACCACAACCACCACACCACCACCACCACCACCACCACGACCGACGACCACCACGACCACCACGACCACCACGACCACCACGACCACCACTGCCACTGCCACTGCCACTGCCACTACCACTACCACTACCACCACTACCACCACCACCACCACCACTACTACTACTCCTCCTACTACTACTACTCTGCTACTACTACCCGGCAGTTTCATGCCCATGTCCGTGTATCTGGTTCATCACGTCGACTCCTCTGTTCAGTGTTTACAGCGCAAGATGCTGCGGTTGCACTTGTCACCTACCCACTAGTTTCTTAATTGTTCCTCACGACAGAGTGGTGTCGCCATATGTTGCCAATGATTTCAAACGATCTGCGGCCTTTTTACTTCTGCAGTCAGACGCTTGTTAGTCCCTCCTGTTTTCCGGGGTCAGCAGCAGGGGCGGTAGCCCTTAAATAAACTAAGGGCTGCTTAATTGAAAAGGCGTGGTTTTCAAGAGATTTCACACCCAATAAAAAAGTATGGAAATCCCCAATGTAGTTAAACCTGTCCTCTGAACTGCACAAGTGGCATTTTCTGGTCGACGTGTAGCCGGTCTCCAATCGCCACGCCTGAGCTGGCTGAGGCCGAGATCAATACTACTCAGCCATGACGGTGGTGTTTGGCAACCTGGTGTTAGCATGGGGGCGGTTTGCGTTGGTATGGAATTGGGCCACTAAAAGCTTCCCAGAAAAAGGTAACCAATTGACTTCAATTAAAACAACATAGCAATGCCAAGGATCAGATCGCAAATACTTCCAGTCCCCTTTGCATCCCAACCAGACCAGAAATATAGTGGATGAAGGATCGCCAGGAACCACCTGAAGGGATTTCCAGGGCGTGATCACCATGTTGGGATTTATTGCCCCTATCACGCTTGTTGTTGCATGTTATCTATTTTTGTTCAATCCAATGCCTGGTGCCCCTCATTGAAAAGTTGAAGCATTTCATCAGTCCACGCTTGGTTGAGTTGTAATAGGGTCTTCTCGCCACTGAATGCTGAAGCTGAAATGCAGCAATAAAGGAGACGACTGCAAAAGGAATCCCTTAGTCACTTGGCTCTTTAGGTGGGAACATATACATATATATATATACACACATATATATATATATATACATATATATATATATATATGTGGAAAGTTGCTCAACCCCCTAAAATAAACATATATAAAAACACTATTGATGCTGAAACCGGGGCTCCCTGAAATTGCCGTGTGGTCTGGTCCTAGAAACGAAATAACTGGCTGCCAGCTTTGTACCATAAATGGCACCCGACGGTGTGTGACACCTTCATCCCCGTGGGTCATAAAAGGAATGCATCGTGCCAATGGTTTTGACGACGAAAACACGCAGTGGTCTGGTTTGATGTCCCGGAAGCGGTTCCAAATGTTTGTAGCATCATCTCCCACCCAGCTTTGTTAGAGCGACGGTGCCCACCAAGGAGGATACCAGGATGATGGGTGAAAATGTACTGGCACCATGAATGCATACTCAACACAGGCCAGTGAACCTTGACATCGTGAATACGTGGCCTTTTTTTGCGACAAGTGATACTAACGTAGTTCATCTCAATGTCAAGGGCTGCTCCCTCATTGTAAAT